CCACATTATGGACATTTAAAAAAACTAAAAAAAAAAAAAAAAAAAAAAATACATTTTCAGCCCTGGAACATGTATAGAAGTAATTTTAGAATAAAGAAAACTGGGATAAGAAACAAAAAATAAATAAAAAAGAAGGAAAATATGTCAAACTCTTTTTTTTGACTATAAAGGCTAGATTATAGCCAAATACAATGCTAGGTCTGCCTTTTTAACCTTGACCCATTACAACAAACTTTAACTTCAAGAGTGGGACCAGCAGTTAGCTTAATGGCTATGTTGCTGGACCCCTGTGTAGTCGACCGCAGTTCGCGTCCCGGACCTGATGGCTTAAAACTCACGCCGGGCACGTGTGCATGCGTGCCCCATATCCCGAGAGGAGAATGGAGGAGAAAGGATTGCGGCGTGTCCATCCCCCATGGGGGGTGATTTCTCGCTTTCTGTCTCTCTGTCTCTCTCTGTCTGCCTGGCGAGCACACGCAACCTATAGCCCTCTCCAAAAAAAAAAAAAAAAGAGTAAGAGCAATACTAATAAAAAAAAAAATGAACTTTCACTTTTGAATTGGTATGCTACTTTTAAAATTTTGTATGTTTTTTTTCCCTTTAACCTAAATCATAAACCTTATAGAGGAACTGTATTTTCTTTTTTTTTAATTACGATTTTTACCATAGAGCACATGCACTATCAAGAGAGACAGAGAGAAAGAGAAAGTGAGAAATCACTCCTCAGATGGAATGACCGCACTGCAATCCTTTCTCCTCCATTCTCCTCTTGGGATTTTGGGCACACATTCACATGTGCTTGGTGTGTTTTTCAAGACACTAGGTCTGGAACTTGGACCATGCAGTTGGTTGGCCATGTGGAATTCAGTGCATTGACTACCTTGCAACCTGGTGGCTCAAGAAGAATTTTCTAATATTCAGAAATCTTATTTCTGATACTTCTGAAAGATTTTTATTAATTTTTTTCTATAGGAAATGTGTGCTTCCTGAGAGACAGAGACAAAGTGAGAAATAAGCCCCCATGGGGAATGGTTATGCTGGAATCTCTTCTCTATTCTCCTCTCAGGAGATGGGCATGAACACACATGTGCCTGGATTGAGTCTCAAGCTGCCAGGTCCAGGACTCAAACCATGTCTGACCATGTGGGAGTCCAGTGCCACCAGCCAGCCACATTTATTAACCTTTTTTTAAAAATTAAACTATTCTGGGGGCTGGCAGGTGGTGTGGTGGTTAAAAGCACTGGACTCCCACATGACCAACCATGGTTTGAGTCCTGGACCTGGTGGCTTGCTTTCTCATTCTCCATCTCTCTCGCTCTTTCTCACTCTGTCCCTCTCTGGTCACATTAAAATAAATAAATAAAATAATTCTTAAATAAATGAAACTATTCTGAAGAATTTGCTTATATGTAATAATGTAATTAATCAACAAGCCATTGTTTAAAATTAATGCATCATTGTGAAGAATTTACTCACATATAAGAATTTATGTCAATAATCTATTGTATTAGATAAACCACAAGACCACAAAAATAGTTTTTACCAATCAGTCAAATATTCGCTGCAATGTTACATACTACAATGTAAGGGAGGTGAGGCGGGGGTGTTTTTGTGAGTCTTTAACTCTTTTTGTTTGTTTGTTTTTTAAGATTTTTGCAATGTGGTATGTGTGCTTGTAAATAGCAGAGAGACAGAGACAATGAGAGGGAAAGTGAGAAATCACCCCCAGGGAAGATGGCCATGCTGCAATCCCTTCTTCTTCATTCTCTTCCTGAGATTTTGAGCATGCATGTACATGTGCCCAGAGTGATTTTCAAACCTTCAAGTCTGGGACTTGGACTGCAGTCTGTCATGTGGGAATCAAGTGCCTTAACCACTATGCTACCAGCTGGCCTTGAGTCTTTTAAGTGTTTTATCTAAAATTGCCTTCAATTTCCTCTGTTTAGAACTCCCATTGTCATGTAAGAAGCATTATTCATCCCTACTTACAATTCCCACTTACTTCAAGATCTATTTTCTAGTTAGATTTTTTTATTTTTTTTATTTTTTTTAAAGAGTTTTTTTGCTATAGGGCACAGGCACTCAGCAAAGAGAGACAGAGAGAGAAAAAGTGGGAAATCATCCCCAGGGCAGATGGCCATGCTACAGTCTTTTCTCTTCCTTTCTCTCAGGATTTGGGGCATGAAGGCACATGCACCCAGCATGAGTTTCAAGTCGCTAAGTCCTGGATTCCAACTGCAATCACCCATGTGGGAGTCCAGTACCTTAACCACTATGCCACCTGCTGGCCCCTCTAGTTAATTTTCTTAATTGAAAGAGGGCCTGTGCCCTGCCAGAGAGAGGGAGAGAGGGAGCAACCCCCCGGGCTGTGGTCATTCCACAATCCCTTCTTCTCCTTTTCTCCAATCCTGTTGAAGTTTGGGGCACACATAACTTGTTTTTCTCAAGCCACTGGGATCAGGATTTAAACCATGATTTACCAAGTAGGATCTAACTCCTCCAATGATGAGACTATGGGACCAGCCCAGTTAAATTCTTGTATAAATAGTTTTTCTAGACCTAGCTAGCAATGAGTGTCTAACTGAAAGACATTTTTCTCCAGAATATTTTTTTAGGATTTGCAAACCCAGGCTCAGTCATAGTAGATGCTGCACATCTTTGTTCTTTAAGTAACTTCCTCTTATAAAAAAAAAAAAGTAATCCCTTATTTTCACTTGCTCTCTTACATGTGTTTACAGGTGTAATTTTGATTGTGCTCTGTGAGTGATTCTGGCTCCTTGGATCTACAGGAAGAGAAATGCACTGTCATCTAGTAAAATCTTGTGTAGTAGTTGTTTCAGCAGGGATACAATGCCAAATCAATTTGATATAAGTGTACCTCTTCTTTGTAAAATTGCAGTTGTTTAAAAATTTGCTATAGGGCATGCGTACTCACCAGAGACAGACACAAAGTGAGACACAGGAAGAGAATATAAAAAAATAATCTGCCAGGTCTGGGACTTGAACCTCTGTCAGCCATGTGGAGTCTAGCACCCTAACCACCCTGCCGCCTGCTCTGCTGGTCTTGTAAAATTGCAAATTCTAAGAAGAGAGAACTTAGGCAATGTAATGCAAGGTTAGAAGCCGTGGGAGGGTGGCATTTACACTTATTTAAACTCCTACTTGTTTAAAACCTATACACAAGTCTGAAGATGGCCATTGGGTATAATAAGCCACAAAACCTCTCTATTTCCTGCAGAAGTGTTGATATTCCACAGTGTCAAATCACAAGGATCACCTGTTTCCAGCTACTAAATTTTTCTACACAGCTGGGGCTTCTCAGGCCCAAGGCCTTCTATTGATACAAGGTAGGAATAATGAGAAGACCTCTGCCCTATACTCAACTGCAGTTGTTCAGGTTTAATCTTCTGTCCTTATCCTAAACAACACCTTTCTTTGTACCTGGCCCTGGGTTCCTGTTCCTGAATTTCTCTAGGGCCATCTCTTGTCTGCAGATATGCTCCCAGTAGCTGTCCCACTGTTCTGTCTCCAGAACCAGCCCTTACACATTTATAAGGACACGCCCAAACCTTTCCTATTCACCATTCTACTGGGCTATACTTATTTCGACCAGGTTCTCTGGTGTGCTGTATGAATTAGCATCCTCCTGTCACCTGTATTGTCTCACCCTTATCCACTTTAGAACCTGGTACCTTTTTTTGTTTGCATTTATCAAAAGCACCCCGTCTATGTCAAATTACCTCATTAGCACCCCAACTATGTCAGACATATTATCTGCTTGTGACATGGAAGACTGTATCACCTTTTTTGCTTTTTTTCACTGGTGGTTCTGACACCAAATAAATGATAGTCAAATCAAGTATCAATATACAACTGTTGCCATAGACACCTGATTATAATATTAAATGACAATTTGATGTAATAGACTTCTAGCTTCTTAGTCTACAGATACATGTTTGTTATTTTTCTTCTTAACACAATCAATAAATGATTTAAATTGCTTTTGTTTTTTGCTTTGTTTTCATTGTCAGAGGGTGAATGTCCTTGCCTGAGAGAGAGAGAAAAAGCACCCTTTAACGGGGTGTGGTCATGCCAAAATCCCTTCTCTATTTCTACATCCTGTCAGAAGATTAGGCACACATGCACATGTATCAGGTGTGTTTTTCATGACACTGGCACTGCTATTCAAACCTCAATCACCCATGGGTTTTCAGACTCCTTTAACCACTAGGCTATAGGGCCAGCCCTATAGTATTTTTCAGAGTAGTGATATGAACAGAAACTATTGATCAATAGAATTTTATTAAGGTCTAAATATTGGCAGCATCTATACTGAAGGAATAATAATAGATATGTCCAGAAGGACCTTTTCTCTAAAGTTTTAATACAATTTTGATTTATGCACATTCACTATTTTCAGCAAAATATAAAACTAAGTATGATTTAATATGTGTACCTTTGAAAAGCTTATCTTAAAATGTAAATGAGAAAAATAACCTTTTTTCAAGCCAAGTATTCATGTCACACCAGTAATCTGGTTTTTATCATAGAAACTGAAGTACCTAATTTCTAAGCTTTAATGTAATTTTTTTTTCTGTTTTAGTCTATCAAAGTTTCACCTGCTACAGCTACCTTTTTATCCCTAATATTTTCTCTAACCAACAATAAGGTCAAGTAGATGTTTATTCCCTGAGAGCTGAGATGTTCAACTTTGACATTTTGGGCCAAATAATTATTTGCTGTTGGAGCTTAACTGTATTGTAGGATGTCAGCAGCATCTCCAACCTCTATCCACATGTTGCCAGTATCAACCACCATCCACTCACCCAGGCTGTGACAATTAACAATATCTCTAAACATTACTGGATGTCATCTAGGGGGTGAGAGGTCAAAAATTATCCAGGACCAGCAGATGTCATAATGATTACATTGCTCGACTCCCATGTAGTTGACTGCAGTTTGAGTCCTGGACCTAGCAACCTAAAACTCATGCCGTGTGTGTGTGTGTGTGTGTGTGTGTGTGTGCCCAAAATTCCAAGGAGAAGGGATTGTGGTGTGGTTATCCTCCTGAGGGGTGATTTCTCACTTTCTGTCTCTCCAGTGAGCACACATTCCCTATAGCAAAGATCTCTCTAGAAAAAAAATTAGTAGTAGTTGAAAAACCTCTGCCTGAGATTATAAAAAATTCCTTGATGATGATGATGATGATGATCTTATTTTCCAGAGTCTGAATCTGGGTCTGTTGGTACCTCAGAGAATCCCTGGCCACGTATTAGCCTTCATTCTTTTCTTTTTCCTTTCTTTTTTTTTTTTTTAAGTAAAAAAGCACTCTCCAGGAGGATGACCACTCTTCTCCTCTGTTCTTCTCTCAGGATTTTGAGCACACAGGCACATGTGCCCGGTATGAATTTCTAGCTGCTGGTCCAGGACTCAAACAGTGCAGTCTGTCATGTGGGATCCAGTTGCCTTAACCTCCATGCCACCTTCTGGACTAGGCTTTGTTCTTTTCTTCCACTGAACTTTTGGATAACATACTGAGCTTTGTTCACAAAGCCTAAATGAAGCCTTTTCTTACTCTTTCAGCCCTGATTAATGGCTCATTTTTAAATATTCCACATGCTTCAAAGTCTTGTAATATGAGAAAATGATGTGGTAAATTATCTAATCTTTCATGTAATTACTTTCTTTGTTTATCTTACATTTATATAAATCTTTATATGTTGAAGGACCATGTAGTGATTTGCTTTATCTTCCGAATAATGACTTTCCAATGTTAGTGTTGCACTTACATAAATTTAGGTATTTTAAAATCAAATATATCTTTTCCTGGAATGTAGGGCCCAAGAATTTGAATTTGAGCTTATCACTTAGTAGTTGGGAGGCACTGAGAAATTTAAACTCAGTTCTAGTTTCCTCACCTATAAAAGGGGGAATCTGGCACAGACTGGGGACCATTAAATATTTATAGTACAGATGAAATTGAAGGTTAAATGCATAACATAAATTAAGTGGTTAGCATAGGCATTCAACAAGTATTTGTGGAATTTAAAAAATAGGAAGGTAATCTAGTAGACAGTAAACAGCAGGTTCTCAATAAATCATAGCACCTCTTTACTCTCTTTGAATAACTGCAACCCCACATTATTTATACCAACTCCCCCTTAACTCTTTATACCTGTTGTTTCATGTGTGATAGTCTTAATTTTTTAAATAATGGTTAGCCTTGAAGGCCTAGATCATTTCTCACCTGAGGACTACTAAGGAGGGAACACTGGAAGAACTCATTAAATACTTGATTAATCAAATGAAGAGGTAAAAGAAGGTTGGGGTAATTCAATTCTCAATAATGCCAATGTCCTCTCATAAATAAGCTTAGCAAAGATGGACCCAAAGTCCCTCTATCTGACATGAGAAGCTGTAGATTAAAGACCCGAACAATATAATAAAGCAGTCACGAAAATTGGTAACAGAAGTAGCAGCCACACAATTAACATTACCCAGAACTTTCAATGTGCCACAAACTACGACCTGTGTCTGGGTATGCTTGAGCGCTTTACAAGGTTTATCTTTTTTAGTCCTAAAACAATCCCTTGTCAGCTGCATGAATAGTCTTCCTATTTTACAAATAGGCCCTGAGAGATTCAACTGCATATGCCAGACCGTACAGCTAAGTGAATTCAAGGCACAGAACTTCTCAGCTAGACTGAACTCCAGGTGAGTTACAGATCCATTAATGTTTATAGCCTTAGACATATGAATTTATTATTCTCTGCCTTAGGTTTTTTTCCCTTCAATAAAATGAGGATTAATAATAACATTCACCTTCCTTACTTCAAAGGTGATTGATTGCAAACATCAGATAGGAAGAAATTTCTGACTACATCATAAACAACAAAATACCCTGTAAATGCTGTTCATGATTTAAAATAGAAAGGTGTGCTCTGAGATCTTGCATTTGCAAAAGAAGACTGAACATCATTCCTGAGGTGTTTATCACTGGTATAACTGCCTTCCCTTCTTTGCAGAGGTAAATACTTACAGAACATAGTTCCCTCACTGCAGTCTCCTGAAGGACTTTCAAAGTCTTCATGAACTGGACCTCTGGATGGTTGGTATGTGCGCACAGGCAATGCCTATGGATTGAAGCTGCAAGGCCAGGGCTCGGCCTGTGTCCTTGGCAATGGAGACAGCAGTCATGACAGTGGGCAGGTACAGTGTGGCAGATGCCTACTGGGTGGACATCAGGGAAGCCCATGTCTAGAGAGAGAGATTTGGTGAAGGCCTGGGGTCTACGTGTCAAGGTTTTGTTATTTGGGGCCAAACAACAATGCCAAGGCCTGAGCTCACACATACATGTCTGAATGGAAACATCATTAAACTGTTTTGCTTCTGTGCCCAGACTTGGTGCCATTGTGTTAACAGAGTCACACGTAGTGCATTCTAAAATTGCTCCCGTAGAATCAGTCCCCATGGCCATAGCATTCTGAGCAGACATCACCAGCTTGGAGGTCATCTGGATTGTCACAGACCTGGAATTGCCAGTCCTTGAGTCAGAATCTGGAAGAAGGTTTTCTGTCTCCACTTCTGCCCAAGGTGTCTGACTCAAAGCACTACACCTAGACTTCACCAGAGGAGTATCTCCAGGCTGTTCATTTATGTGGGGAATAGACTTTTCAGATATTTGAATTAGATCAGTTGTGCAGGACGTGACTTCACTGTGCTTGGGCACATGCTGCGGTGAACATTCTTGTGTTGGTGAAGTGAGGTTGGTGTCAGGATAGAGTTTGTTACTTTCCTCTCCTCTTGGGGCTCCAGAATCATTGCAGAAGACCCTGTCCTGAGCACAGTCATGTTCAGATGGCCTTTGAGGCTTACAGTGGTGACTTTTCATGTGCACTTCCTCAGCTCCTTCAAGCCTCCAAAACCTGTCCTTCACTTCTGTAGTGTGAGTTTCCATAATCCCAACAGATCTTTGGGGTTTGGAAGTGACTGTGGCTCCAGTGACCTCGTGTTCAATGTGGGGCACTGGCTGGAGATGCTGTGAATAGCCGTCTTTCCTGGGGTATTCTCCCCCAGTGACAGTCTTGGCAGGGGTCCCATCTGGGATCAATGGCTCTAGTGGTCCTTCTATAGCCTCAAGCTGAGACTCTTCCTCTCCCACAGATGTTGAGGTCTTTTCTTCCAAGACACTCCAGTCCTGGCTTGAAAAAGATGTGCTCACCATACTCTTGGCATCAGACTCGTCTGACTCTGGCTGACAGTCCTGGGATGATACTAAGCCATGGCTCTGACCCCTTGGCTTTCTACCTTCCTTCTCAGCAGGACATGGGCTGCTAGGCAAAGAAAGCATCTGTAGGAGAAAGCAGGATGAAGGGAAATCGGTCAGGAAGTAGAGGAGGCAATAGATTTTTAAAGATTTTTTTTTTCTTTCTTATAATTACCACTAACTTAGGGGTCAGGAGTAAAGTAAACTCAGATTTCACATCAGTTTACTGTTTTCTTAGGATCTTCTTCTCCACAAGGTTTAGCTTTCTTGTTTTGGAAAAAAAAAAAAATAGAAAGGAAAGGGAGGCTGAGCTTCCTGGTATCTTATTTATTGTGACTCTACAACCCGCTACCCCTGGGTGCATGTGACATGTGACTTCTGTGCATTTCCAATGTGGTGGGCACTTGAAATTTATCTTTCCTTCTGAGTGAGCTGTAGATGAGGTAGGGCAGAGTGGCAGCCAGGGCTGAAGTAGGGCATGTGGAAAGAGACTAAGGACTCTATGCCAAACCCTTTTACCTGGAGGGGCAGTGGTTCCAGTGACTCCTCCAGAAACCCACTGCTGTCAGACTGACAGCTATTTGCTCTGTCTACACTGGCACCTGTGGAAAGAAAGAGGCCTTGAAGTTACTTAAGTGAATATGTGTTGCCTATAGGACCAGGATCGACCCTCTGTGGGCCTGGCACATGGTAGATCCTCCATAAATGTCCACTATTCCGAGGGTACCTTTTTCTTAATTGTCAAAGAGTTCATATAAAACTGCATCATTGGTTTTCCTGAAACAAAGAGTAAAACACCAATCAAAGGAAGAGGAACTAACATCTCTTAAAACTAAACAATAATACAATTATGAGATGAAAATTTACTTAGGTTGAAGAAAATCCTAAAAGAAATGCCTTAAATGTCACACAAATAAAACAATGAAAAACCACAATTGATGTGCACGTGTGTATGTAGTCTTTTTCCTAAAGTTTGGATAAGAAATGTATGCTAACTTCAGCTGGACTCTATGTGACTACAAGATCATGCTCACGTTTTAGATTACTGCTCTTGTCACCGTGAGAGCTACAACAGTCAGAGAAGGAATAGCGTTAAATGCCAGCATGTCATGACTTTGCAAACATGAACATCATGACATTTTTATCTGTAGCTTCGTATGTAAATATGATTTATATTATTGTTGTATTATATTGATTCATAAAATTTAAATTTATTATATATAATTGTATTTTATATTTTTCTTACATTCTATTTATTTATTGGGTTGTCAGAGAAGTCCTAACATATTTTTCTATGCAAAATGCATTATGACTTTCCTACAACCCAATATATTATTGGGGTTGAGAGAAATAGGTTATAACTTGAGGGTTACCCTATTAAAGATTAATTTATGAGATTTTTATTATAAGTTTCCAAAGAGTATGTGTACTTGCCTGGGAGAGACAGAGAGAGAAAGGCAGAGAGAGTAAGCATCCCCCCAGTGGGCCACAATCCCTTCTCCATTTCTCCATCTCAGGAGTTGGGGCACACACACATCTGGGTGCCTGGTGTGATTTTCAAGTTTCTGGGGCCTGGAACTTGAATGTAGTTGACCCATAGTATACAGGACTGGCCCCAAGTTAAGGGATTTTTTTTTCACCCTCTTCTTTAATAAGGAATGCTTCCAGCTATACCAAAGTATAGGCCAGAATAGGAAATCTCTTGGGAGGAGGACTGGAATTAGCCTATTTAGAATACAAGAAGCAGAGGGAGAAGCTGTGCTTGTCCTGAGAAATAAGACTGGGTATTGGTCTGAGAAGTGGGTTGAAAGGAAAAGTTGATTGTTACTGGATATAATACTTGAGTACTCCCTGGCCTAAGGGACACTGAGGCAGGGCCTTCTGGCACCCTCAAACCCAGAGACCTCTATCTTTGTCAGCCAGACACCTGAATAGAATATTCCCCTTCAGATCACACTGCTAAATAGAACAGAAGAGAGACTTTGGCAGTCTTCAGTCCACAGTAAAAGGGAACACACACTTGCTCCTAGTCAAAGAAACATTCTCCCAAAAGGTATTCCAAAGTGAATACTTGAGTATTTAGTAATGAAGTGAGAAACAAAGGATGTGCCTTTGCTTGAACAACTTAACTACAGTAGAAGTTCAAAGGATGAAAAATGGCCTTGGTCTCTGCTTAGGTATTCTAGATTCAACCTTGAAGGACAGCTCCACTTACAAGATCAGCAGCACCCAGATCCTCATAGGAGTGTCTCACACCAGTCCTAACCGCCCATGTGCCTGAGAAAAGCAGCAAGTGCAGACATAGTCTCAGAGATGGCCTACCCAGCCCAAGTCCCAGCTACTCACCCTAAAATCAGAGTATAAAGAAAGGCTTAACTTCATAGAATTAAAATTATAAACACCACATTCTTCAATTCAGCTTCAAACAAAATTAGATTCTAAGTCCTGGGCCCAGTGCTTAAACTCATGCCGGGCACGTGTGCATGTGAACACAAGATCCCAAGAGGAAAATGGAGGAGAAGGGGTTGCAGCGTGGCCATCCCCCCTGGGGGGTGATTTTTTGCGTTCTATTTCTCTGTGTTTCTGGTGAGCGCACGTACCCTATAGCAAAAATCTCTCAAAAAAAGAAAAGTTTAAAAAAATACCACTGCCTGGTAACTTATGAAGAGCAGACATTTATATCTGCACACTGGGAAGTCTAAGATCAAGTAGCATTAGGTGTCTGGTAAAGGCCTTCTTGCTGTGTCTACACATGGCAGAAGAGTGGAAGGGCAAAAGTGCATCAGTGAACTGTGGAGCAATAAATGCTATGTCCTCACTTTACATGGTAGAAGAGATGTCAGGGTGGAAAAAGGGCCTGACTAGTGTTCTCCAGCTTTTAAGAAGGTTACTTATCTACTCATGAGTGCATATCTCAAAGATATATAGGAATATAAAAAAAAAATCTAGTACTCACAAGGTAAAATGTTCACTGACTATCATATAACAAAGAATACCAAGCATACAAACAAGTGAGAAATATGTAATCTATAATAAGGAGGAAAAAAGAAATCAATCATCAAAACTAACTCTGAACTGACACAGATGTTAGAATTAGCAGACGAGGACATTAAATACTTCCTGGAACTATATTCTGTATGTTCAAAAGCTAGAGGAAAGTTTAAATACAGGAAGTGGGGAAGAGTAAAACATTAAAAAGACCTAAATTAAACTTATAGAGATGAAAATTGTAATAGCTCATGTAAAATTTGTATTGAATAGAATTAACAGCAGGTTGAAAACTGCAGCAGAAAAGATTAGTGACATAAAGACATAGCCATTATAACTATTCTAAATGGAACATAGAGTTGAAAAAAAGAATTTGAAAAGTACATCAACCAACTGTGGGACAATTTCAAGTAGTCTAACGTGTAGGTAACTGGAAATCCCAAAGAGGAGAGGGAGCATTTGAAAAAAATGTTTTAAAGAAAATTTGTTTCATGAAGTCCAACAAACCCCAAGCACAAGAAAGAGGAAGAAAATGATATGAAAGTACATCAAAATCCAACTGTCCCACACCAGTGATTAAGAGAAGAATCTTAAAATCATCCAGAAAACAAGATATATTACAAATGGAGTTGCAAAGATAAGAATGGCAGCAGATTTCTCATTGGAAATAAATCAAGCCAGAAGACAGTTCAATAACATCTTTAGCGAACTGAGAGAAAAAAAAATGTGTTATGTATTAAATTTTTTTATTATCTAAATCTTTTAAAAATATAATAGACTATTTAAACAAAAATAATAACAATGTAGTGCAAGGTTTATAATGAAGATCTAGAAAAGTCTACAGAAATGAACATTCTGCTACTATAAAATTTATAGTTTGTATGGAAGGAGCTGCCTGAGAGATTTTTCTTGAACTGTGATATGCAACCTTTATAAACTTTTAATCAGAGGAAATAATGCATACTTATTGTATATTTACTATAAAAATGTACTCATTTAACATTTAATTTATAACATTTCTTGTGTAAAATGCAAGACTTTACTGTCCTTGTTATAATGAATTCAACCAATATTAAAACTCTTCTTGTTATTTTAGAGTTAAGGGGGGTAAATCACCTATTTTTATTCTTCTGTCAACTATGTGTGCCAAATAAATGATGATTATGATAGTAAAGTTTCAAAAGCTCATTGCATAATTCCAATTTTTTTTTTTTCCTATGTGAAGGGCCCTGGCCACTTTTGCAGGAGCTCCTTCATTGAATAACCATATAGATGGGGCAAAAATTTGTCAAAAAAACTCCAGGTTCCACTTATGGGCTTCAGGACCCTCCACTCAGACCTCTGAGCCCCTCTGCAGTAAACAGGATATATGGATAGAAAAGATCAAGATGAATTAACTTTCACTCCTCCCTCCCCATCCACGTATTATATAAGCTGTAGAGAATCCAAAGATACTCAATTGATGAAGCTGAGTCTCTGTGAAAAGGACAGGCGAGGCAGACCTTGGAACCTCTTGCTCTTTCTATGTGTTGATGTGAGATTTATGTCACAAACTGTGAAGGACTCTTGGTATATCATTATTATTTCAACTTTCCAGATAATCTTTAAATAATTATTATTCTGGATACAAACTTTACATACAATGGTTGCTATTTATTTTCTTATAATGCTTGGATAAAAGTGTATGTTAGAGTATAGAGAAGGATTGCAAGAGAAAAAATAGAGAGGCATGACATTAGTGGGACACAGAAACGGCTTATTACCTGTTAATGATAATATGTATAGTATTTTCTATTGGATGGGTCTGAGAAGTATTTCAGGTTGGGTAAATTCTTTTTATGAGCCAAATGATATGTAGTGATTGTTTAAAAAAATAATGATAACAATAACAATAATCTAAAAAAATGATGAAAAGCTATTTGATGATGATGTGAATAGTAATGTCTATGTCTTGATTGATATGCATAATATTCTTGCTGGAAAAAAGAAATTTAATACATAGTAAAGATATATGTGATTCAATGTAATATAAAAAAGATTATGATAAAAATTTAAAAATGATATATTAGAACACTAGAACAAAACGATATATTACAGCCCAATTATTTATGTGCTGGCTGGTCCTTATCAGCCTGGTCCAAATAAAAATAAACATAAAGGATTCCTAAAAGTTAGAAAGAGTAATATCCTCTAAAAGGAATATATTTATGATAAAACTGTTACCTTCCATTAATGGTACTTGTGTAAAGCACAAACAAACCAACACCATTTTTGGAAATCCTTTAAGTGAATTTATGAAACACTCAGACCTTGAGACCTCACTTTGAGTAAATAGTGGAAACGGATATGGTTCTCTCAGGAATAGAGGCACATTTATTCATTGTATTTTAGAGGTCAGGTGCTTATGTCTGAATAATTTTGTAATTCTATAAACAAAACATGGGGCCAATCTAGAGATGGCTTAATTTTTTCAGGAGGCTAAAAATCCTTCCACCTTAGAAAGCAACTTTTTAGTAACTAGATTGTAAACATTGTTGGGTTTCCAAATTCGCAATAAGAAATTAAATAAGTCAAATGATGAGAAATCACCTAGCCCAGATAATGCTGATGGATT